TGTCTCTCCCCAGCACATTACAATGATGTGTCTCCTCAGCACGTTACAATGATGTGTCTCCAACGCACATTACAATGATGTGTCTCCCTCGCACATTACAATGATGTGTCTCCCCAGTACGTTACAATGATGTCTCCCCAGCACATCACAATGATGTCTCTCCCCAGCACGTTACAATGATGTGTCCCCCCGTCTCTCCCCAGCACATTACAATGATGTCTCTCGATGTCTCTCCCCAGCACATTACAATGATATCTCTCCCCAGCACGTTACAATGATGTGTCTCCCCAGCTCGTTACAAGGATGTGTCTCATTAGCATGTTAAAATGATGTGTCTCCCCAGCACATTACAATGATGCCTCTCCCCAGCACATTACAATGATGTCTCTCCCCCAACATGTTACAATGATGTCTCTCCCCAGCACATTACAATTATGTGTCTCCCCAGCACGTTACAATGATGTCTCCCCAGCTCATTACTCTCCCGAGCACATAACACTGATGTCTCTCCCCAGCACATTACAATGATGTATCTCCCCACCACGTTACAATGATGTCTCCCCAGCTCATTACTCTCCCGAGCACATAACACTGATGTCTCTCCCCAGCACATTACAATGATGTATCTCCCCACCACGTTACAATGATGTCTCCCCAGCTCATTACAATGATGTGTCTCCCCAGCACATTCAACTGATGTCTCTCCCCAGCACGTTACAATGATGTCTCTCCCCAGCACATTACAATGATGTATCTCCCCAGCACGTTACAATGATGTCTCCCCAGCTCATTACAATGATGTGTCTCCCAAGCACATTACAATGATGTGTCTCCATAGCACATTACAATGATGTCTCCCCCCAGCACATTACAATGATGTCTCTCCCCAGCACGTTACAATGATGGCTCTCCCCAGCACATTACAATGATATCTCTCCCCAGCACGTTACAATGATGGCTCTCCCCAGCACATTACAATGATGTCTATCCCCAGCACATTACAATGATGTCCCTCCCCAGCACATTACAATGATGTCTATCCCCAGCACATTACAATGATGTCTATCCCCAGCACATTACAATGATGTCCCTCCCCAGCACATTACAATGATGCGTCTCCCCAGCACGTTACAATGATGTGTCTCCCCAGCTCGTTACAAGGATGTGTCTCATTAGCATGTTAAAATGATGTGTCTCCCCAGCACATTACAATGATGTGTCTCCCCAGCACATTACAATGATGTCTCACCCCAGCACGTTACAATAATGTCTCTCCCCAGCACATTACAACGATGTGTCTTCCAATCACATTACAATGATGTGTCTCCCCAGCACATTACAACGATGTGTCTCCCGAGCACATTACAATGATGTCTCTCCCCAGCACATTACAATGATGTGTCTCCCCAGCACGTTATAATGATGTCTCCCCAGCACGTTACAATGATGTGTCTCCCCAGCACATTACAATGATGTGTCTCCCCAGCACATTACAATGATGTCTCTCCCCAGCACATTACAATGATGTCTCTCCACCGCACGTTACAATGATGTATCTCCCCAGCAAGTTACAATGATGTCTCCCCAGCACGTTGCAATGATGTCTCTCCCCCGCACGTTACAATGATGTCTCTCCCCAGCACATTACAATGATGTCTCCCCAGCTCGTTACAATGATGTGTCTCCCCAGCACGTTACAATGATGTGTCTCCCCAGAACATTACAATGATGTCTCTCCCCAGCACATTACAATGATGTCTCCCCAGCTCGTTACAATGATGTGTCTCACTAGCATGTTAAAATGATGTCTCTCCCCCGCACGTTACAATGATGTCTCTCCCCAGCACATTACAACGATGTGTCTCCCAATCACATTACAACGATGTGTCTCCCAAGTACATTGCAATGATGTGTCTCCCCAGCACATTACAATGATGTGTCTCCCGAGCACGTTACAATGATGTCTCTCCCCAGCACGTTACAATGATGTGTCTCCCCAGCACATTACAATGATATGTCTCCCCAGCACATTACAATGATGTCTCTCCCCAGCACGTTACAATGATGCCTCTCCCCAGCACATTACAACGATGTGTCTCCCAATCACATTACAATGATGTGTCTCCCCAGCACATTACAATGATGTGTCTCCCCAGCACGTTACAATGATGCCTCTCCCCAGCACATTACATCGATGTGTCTCCCAATCACATTACAATGATGTGGCTCCCGAGCACATTACAATGATGTGTCTCCCGAGCACGTTACAATGATGTCTCGCCCCAGCACGTTACAATGATGTGTCTCCCAGCACGTTACAATGATGTCTCTCCCCAGCACGTTACAATGATGTGTCTCCCAAGCACATTACAATGATATGTCTCCCCAGCACATTACAATGATGTGTCTCCCGAGCACATTACAATGATGTCTCTCCCCAGCACATTACAATGATGTCTCTCCCCAGCACGTTACAATGATGTGTCTCCCTAGCATGTTAACATGATGTCTCTCCCAAGCACGTTACAATGATGTGTCTCGCCAGCACATTACAATGATGCCTCTCCCCAGCACATTACAATGATGTCTCTCCCCAGCACGTTACAATGATGTGTCTCCCCAGCACGTTACAATGATGTGTCTCCCCAGCACGTTACAATGATGTCTCCCCAGCACGTTACAATGATGTGTCATCCTAGCATGTTAAAATGATGTCTCTCCCCAGCACGTTACAATGATGTGTCTCCCCAGCACGTTACAATGATGTGTCTCCCCAGCACATTCCAATGATGTCTCCCCAGCACATTTCTGTCAACAATAGCGTTCGAATGTCTCCCCAATGCAGTTTAGCAACACGTGTTTATATAGAATCTCGCCTCATACGCAACGCTGTCAACTGGTGGGTGTTTCCTCAGATTAGAGCCAGAATGCAGTGTTTTTAGCATTGGTATGCACTCCCTAATAGAGTGGTGTCAAAAATATTGTGTTTTAATGCAAACTTTATACCCAAATACAGCACTTTCAAAAGTAAAGTGTTTAATCAAAAATGTCCCAATCAAACAGAGTGACGTGCAGAGTTGTGTGATTGGGTAGAATCTCTATCTTAATACATTGCCGTCAACAAAATTGTGTTTGTTTCGATATCTTCCAAATACAGTGTTGTAACTAGTAACATAATGTGTGAATATCTACCCAAAAGCAACGTCATCATCACAAGTATGATTAGTTAGAATCTCTCCCCAAATTTTGTTGGAATTCCCTCTATTAACAGTTGTGGGTTAGGTTAGACTGTCTCCCGAATACATACTTATCAGCAGCTTAGAATTAGGTTTTATGTCCGAATAACTACAGATTTCCAACTATGCTTTCAGTTGTTAACGACTTGTTATATATATATATCGATCATTTCCGTAACTATTAATATATATACTTGAGGGTAGATATATCGTGTGTGTCCTACTGAATGAAAATAAACAATGATTGATCTATTTTGATAGTTCTGTCGCCCGAATACATAGTTTTCAACAGCATTAATTTTGATCACAATAACTACAATGTATAGTGTCCCAAACATGCTTTCATATGTAAATAACTTCTGGATATCTATATCGATTATTTAGTAACTGCTTAATGGTAGATATATCTAATAGGTCAAACTGAAACGAAATATTCTGTGTAGGGTCAATGTTATTGTTATTGCAGCTTAAAATATTACTGAATTGATTTAGCTTCAATTGAATATTTTGTCAAATAGACTCTCAGCCGTACTAATAAATGGTCAAAATGGTTGCTTCAAATATGTGGTGGATCACGGTCAAATCATTCCTGCAACCGGTCAATATCACATTATCCGACCACCGTTATAAGGAGCTAAACGCACGCTCTGTTGATACGCATTGCTGCTAATCGACCATTAAAAGATAAACTAACATGCGTTCGTTAGTTATTGATCCAATATGGTTCTAAATGTGCACGCAGATAGGACTTAAAATATCCCAAGACATGAATGATGCTTATAATATGTCACGCGTTACAAGTCATATTAGAGTAATGACAACACATGTGTTTACCAAATACCTTTTCATACATTTCTGCAAGTTATTTGTCTAAATACACTAGCACTGATAATAACATGTTCACAATGAATACAATACACGTGTGGTATAGTACTTTATAAGTACATGATTAATACCAGATAATTTCCGAAATAATGACATTATATGCCGTGTGATTAAACTCTGTAGCCGGTTAATAGATACAAACGCGCATCATAAAAATCGTCGATGTTTCGACCGAGACAAACCTTGCGTATTAATACTACATGTACTATCTTTCATGTGAAGCTTCCAGCAATTTAATGGCTTTAAAAGAAATACCACTTACCTCTGTTATCCGTAAACAATTGCCAGGCGATGTGTCTTACTCATGGTGTAGTCTGTGTTTATAAAACGGATTTGTCCTGATACGTCTTCCGGTTTCATTTTCCTGCAATGATTAACAAACCGCCGGTGAATGAATGCAATGACATACACATACGCTGTATGTACGCCCGGCTTTGGTATGATTCCGTTTTCTGTTAACAGACAGGGAGACGGAAATAACGTCATACGAACAACTGAGGATGAGAATGACTAATTTACCGCTATATTGTCGAGATATGATGCATATCCATGTTGCTAGTCAGCCCCCTTCCAGCACTCACTGATGTTAATGTATGCACGCGATTCAATATAGATTCATTATTGGTTGATGCCCGTCTAGCGCAAGCATTGTGTGTTCGACCTCGCTAGCGAACCAATCGATAATTTAACATTCGTCGCAAGATCTCTTGTTCGTCTATGATCGGTGGCTTCGCCTTATCGAGATACCTAGCCTCTTATGTGCTGCCTTGTAGCGACCAGTGGGGGCATCACACATAGATAGCCAGGCTGCCAGTGTTTGTGTGACATATATTTCAGAACAGACTGCCAATATATTTGGGTTCATTGTTTATTTTTTAGAACAAGAAATGAAGACCCACGTGTGTATACACCCACAGTGCTGACAATAAGGTATGGTAACTATGCATGTTGTGTATAACCAATGGTGTAAGGTCACATGAAGCATCTGTAATATACCGTTATGCAATGTCATTTGTGATTTGATCTGTGCCATTGTCATTTATGATCTATTTCATATTTTTGTGTGACATGTTCCTCCCACGTTCAGCCCCGTCTAATACAGATTACATGTATATGAAGCTACTATTTACTATTTTAGCCGTGTATCATGTGACACTCAATTTTTGCTATCCGTCCTTACCACGTGTGTATCAATTGTGTGTACACATGCCCATCTGGCGGTTTATCGTTTACTCTCCCCTTCTCTCCCCGCGCCCCTTACAAAGACACTGTGCCCATCTATCCGTGAATAACATATCCCGTTGCACATGAGCGCACGTCTGCTCCTAACAAAGATACCCGTACCTATCAAGGCTATTCGTGAATGACACCTGTCTTTTATATCAAATGCACCTGTCATTTCGGCGTATTCGTATATGATACAGCTACTTCCAGTAACAGGGATGGCTACATGATTCATGGTTCATGGTGGTCGACGTCTTGGTAAACATAGTATTGCTTCTGTTGACGCTTCTTCATAGTTGTTCACATATTACGCGAGGACATGTTTAAGCTGGGTCCTCACCAACTAGGAACTACATATAAACGGTAACCTTGTTCGCGGATTCCCGCAGAGACGGCAGTGTTTAATGAACAGTATTTATGACGACAATGTAAAATGACTAACCAGTGGGTCCGCGTCCCAATGCAGGTTACCATGGCTAAGTATGGCAAATTATCACCATATACACGTAATGACTAAGCTGGTTGTATCCCTGTTTACAAGAGTATGCGGTTATACAATACTGTATGTCTCAGCTTCTTGAGTCGTCAACAACGAGATGCCGGTACTAGTGTTGGACCTCCTCAAACATTGTACTGGACTACGTGATACAAATTGTATAAGCTGGGTTCTGGCCAAACTTGTCAAAAGCAGTATGATATGATTTAGTGTGCTTGGGTAAAAAAGTTTTGCAATACCTATATAGCCATGTGGACATTCCGTCCATCTTTGATTGTTGGTTTTCATACGTGTCCCTAATGAGTCATCAGTACATTACTCCCTTCCTCGCCCTTTTCCCTCCTCCTACCCCTCGTGTCTTTGTTCTTCTCTGGTTTGCCACTACCCCCTCCCCCTCCCCCCTCCCCCTCCCCTGTTTCTATATGTCTCCGTTACCTTCCGTGAACTCCAATCCCCACCCACGGAGATGATTGAACTGACCGGAAGTACAATAATGTACAACTTCTATGAACATACATATTATTCACCTTCACTTTTAAAGGAGATAACTTACATCCGTACATTCACTATATCAACACTTTTCCTTTATTAACTCTGCGAAGAAGTATCTACTACAGAATTCCGTCCCTAGCTAACAATCAATAACGAACATCTATCTCCCGACCTCTACCGCCTAGTTCATGGCGCTCTCCGTAGGAGGATAAGATAGATGGTTCGTGTACATGCTTCTCTATCACCGATAGCGTCAGATTGCTAACATCTTGTGGAAGAAATTGCTAGAGGGTGCCAAACAAGGGAAGCATGTTTGACAGCGCCTGTCAGAACATTATAGCCCCCTTGAGCCTGCAACAGAAAGTCAGTGGTGCAGTATATCCCTTTCTGGCGTGGAAGACAATGTTGGCAAACTGTACATATATATCGTGATTACTATCGGCGTGTTCGTATATAATGTGTCTGTTAGAAATTGTGTCATAGAAAGATGGACTATTAGTCATAGAGAAGGACACTTTTAATGCGCTTCTCTCGTAGAAAAGGACTGATCCGTTTCTCAGTGTTGACCACCAAGCGTAGACAAAAACCTCCTATACAATCCTAATGCTTCATTTCCATATGTATTTTCAATTTTCTTTAAAATCGTGCAATCGTTTCTGTAAATCTACAGTGTATACTCGCCGGTTGAAAACGTTATGCACCTCGATCATTTCGAACTGAACTTGACAATATTGCGGTTCTAGACATTAACGAATCGACCGAAGCCTTCGGGATTCTGGGATGGTCGATATGTATGACATCAGTAAAATTCTGAACAGGCGTTTGTTTTACATGAAATTTAAATCGATATACACGTAGTCACAGCAACATTCTTACCAAATATTTAGTTATTTTTTTCATTACAAACACTCAATTCTGATCGGTCGAAAAAGTATTAACATTGTTCTATGAAACAATATCAGCCACGCCCACCTGAACTACTTTCGCATTGTAGTATAGTGCACGTAATAAAGTGCCACAATTGAAATGTTGTTTATCTATTTTATTTTTTATGGTTTCTTTGCACAATCAATTGAAATTAATTACAAACACTGAAGTGGATTTTTTTTCATTTTCATCGGGTTATGAAAAGAATACGCGAATCCATACAGTTTGCAAAAACAATCTGTTCAAATGAATGAGAATGCACGAACAAACGCTTCAGAGATGCAGGTGAGGTGCCATTTTGATCCCTACCCCCACGTTACAAATAAATATTTTGTAAAAGTGTATTTTAAATTAAAGTAATCACGTGTTTCAAAAACAGACGGCGAGGAAGTTTTGGCGTTTTATCGTTTTCTTATCGAATATGTTTTGGTTTATGTTTGTAGCATGTTATCTGTAAAACATTGCCTCCATTTTAGAACTCTGCAGTATGTTTACAAAAGAGATGGGTCACGAAAGGTCACACATCGTGTAATGGTTTTATACAAGTAACTCCAGAAGTCCTCCGAAATAAAGCCGGAAGCTATCGGAGTGAATCGTCGAACGTGTGAATTGGATAACACAGTAGATTAGTGTTTGTGTAAAAATAAACGGGTCGTAATATTACTGTATACAGAAAAAAGGAAACTAAGAGTCATAAAATACCCGACTACCATTCATCTCGACGACATTTTTCTTTCGCTCGATTTAACGTTATTGGCTAATAAATCGATCGTTCATAATATATATGCTGCTTATGAAATACAACTTTAACTAAATGTAACACATGTACCAAGAATCGCGTTTTCATACATTTTTACTCTCGGGGAATAAAATCAAACAAACAACCCACATCGATGAATAGGGTCATTCATGTTATACCCTCCTTAAACAAGATATGTAATTAATCTAATTAACTATTTCAAACTTAATAATTCCATTAAACACTACGGCTAAGGATACGCTTTGGATCGAAATTTATGTTAACAATAACCCAAAAGAACCGTTTTTAAGTCCATTTTTGTCAATGAGATGTTTGATAATCCCCATCATGTATCGCATGAGTAGTATTGGTATAGGTAAATATATGGGTTCGCCAATTTTGTTTAAGTAGCCTATCGTTTTGAACGCAAAGTATTTTTTTGCATATTCAACCAAAGCCGCTATACATGAACAATACCAATCACTTTCGCGTACGTGAATTGTTGACCAATACAAAATAACTACAGGAAACAATGAATCTATCAAATGAAATGCTGAAAACTGTTCAACACAGGTGATAATCTATAAGTATAAACTGTGAAATCATCAAAAGGTTCAACCCCGAGACATGTACGTAGTGTTTGTATTTCATCTTACATAACGGGTAAGGTGTGGCGCGTGTTTTACATAACAAGTGTATTATGTAACGTGTTTTACATAAGACGTGTAGTGTGTGTAGCGTGTTTTCATTAGACGTGTAGTGTGTGTAGCGTGTTTTACATAAGACGTGTGGTGTGTGTGGCGTGTTTTACATAAGACGTGTAGTGTGTGTAGCGTGTTTTACATAAGACGTGTACTGAGTGTAGCATGTTTTATATAGGACGTTGGGGTATGTAGCGTGTTTTACATAAGACGTGTGGTGTGTGTAGTGTGTTTTACATAAGACGTGTAGTGTGTGTAGTGTGTTTTACATAAGGCGTGAAGTATGTGTAGTGTGTTTAACAAAATAACAAGTTGGAATTCTTAAGAAGATTCAGCTGCCAGAAAGGTATTTCAATAATTTATCTTGATTTGTTTAGATTTTTTCATATACATAGCTGTAAAATTAAACATATGAATAGCATAAGTGATACGTTCATTAGGACTACCCCGATATGAGCAATGCCAGTACAATCGTTTAAGACGCTGTTTATTAAAAATGAAATAAACAAATTCAGTGGTCCAATGCAAGTGGCTTCTACTGCGGGAGTCGAACCTAAGTGTTTATAGCTATAACATAAGAGTATAAGCGCTGTATCTGTCAGTCCTAGCAGGAAGTAATGGTTCCGGGGGGTCGCTATATTGTGTATTGTTTGTTATAATTAGTCTATCTACAATGACTACAGAAGTCTTATCTGTGTAGCATTCACGTATCACTGTAAGGGCTTTTGTAAGCTAACATCAATGGCAGACACTCACAATACTTGATCATTGGTATATTTTATGAATGAAGTTAACATTCTCTTATTGTCTCAGTTTGCAGACATGTAGGTTGATTACGAAAGATTTTTTTCATATGAGCCTTGCTTTGGAAAATGCATTTGTAAAAACATTCCTTTGCTTTTACACATAGAGAGGCTCATTTCCTATTTATTGACGTATAGAAATCGCGATTCCAGAGGTTCACGAAATAACCAAATGGCCATAGGTGAGCTCTGACGTTTAACATTTCAAACGGCTTTTGAAATATATTAAAATATGACTAAATTACACTTTCGTGAATTTTTCAAGAAGAATTTTTTTAAGTCATACAATTTAACAACAACAAAATTGTACTTATGATGCTTCTCAGATCATAACTATATGGACCCATGTACCAAATATAGCCTTATTGGTAGTTTGTTTTCCTTAAATAGTAATACACATTTTTCCTGAAATACATTCGAAAAGGTTCCCTTTTATCCGTGGTTTAATTTGGATATTCAGATAGCTTACTTATGACCAGCTGACATTGACATCACGAATAGGTTCAAGCCGAAAAGTCTATGAATGAGCAGATGATTTAACCTCTATT